ATATATATATATATATATATATATATATATATACTAATGATAAAGAAGAAAAAGGAAAAAGAAAACATGGATCTTCAGCTCGCCGACCTGTTTGGTTGTTGTTACCCAATTTTTTGTATGGTTGTATTGAAATTGTTATTTCTGGCTTATTGTATGAATCATTGATTTTGAATATTGATCTGATAAAATAAAGTCTTTGTTAAAAAAAAATGCAGCAGAAACAGTTTAAGCAGAAATAAATGTATTAGTTTGAGGATAAATTTAGTGTAACAAAACTGTGAAAACAGATATTATGATTCAGTGGTCAAGCTGAAACATCTGGGCTATCATATACAAGATAAAATGCAGCTGCCATTATTACGCATCATGGTGCTTTCTTACCTTTCTTCATCTTACACCATTTTTAACTTTCCTTTTTACATATTATTTGACATTGTTATTGAAGGAATATCATAAAAGCAGATTATGCAAAAGGGAAATAAGCTAAGGTGACACCATGAGCATCAGAAGGTCTGCTCTGAGTTACACACTGATCTACATACCATAAAAGATTTTATGCTGGCAAGGGTAATGATGACTTTTTCTAGTAGCCAACACCGACCGGTACTAATGTTGTGTTTTGTCAACTGGCAGAAATGGGTAGAGAAAACGCTCCCATGTCCTGCAACTAATAATCAAGTTCAGTTATTAAATAGAATAGTATGGAAATATCCTTTATTGTCCGTTGGACAGGAAGGTAGAAGTATGCGGATACACAATGACGTAAAGAATGAAAACAATAGAAGTATGAAACTGAGTGGAATAATTTAATAAATCTAGAAAATATGAACATACCTAAGTGTAAGAAACAACAGACTCTACAGCAAAATGGCAAACTACAAAGAACAGCAGAAACCCTTATTTAGTTTGTCAGGAGCATTGATGGTTAGTAAGTCTTAACAGCTACTGAAAGGAAGGAATGATCTGTGAATGTGCTTCTTTGGTCATATAAAGATTACTCTCTAAAGTTATATCATTTATTGCAGCTGTACACTTAAAATGTTTAAACCAATCACATATAAATAATACAATTTCTACTATAATACTGTAATCAATCTGGCTGGACAGACTGCCAGTAAAAAAGAATAGAACATTTCTTTATTGTCCCACAATGGGGAAATTGTGGTATTCCATCCTCAAAGGAAATCATACAAAACTGCTTATGATGAGGACAGACATGTTTTTCTCAATTTCTCCATTTATGCAGCTTTGACAGATTTTGTTTTTTGTTTCTGACTGTTCTGTTAGCTTTTTGCATAATGGACATATAGAACCCTTTTCTTCCTCCTCGCCTAATATTATAGGTCACCTCATCAAGTTTCCACATTGCAGTAGGGTTTGTGCAACATACAGGGTTTTCACCACAAAGTATCACAATTATACTTCCTCGAAGAAAGGAAGAATAAAAAGCCCAGGTGGTAGAAAAGATGCAAACGACTGCATTTCACACCTCAGACCAGAAGTGAAAAAAATGCTTGTGTAATGATAACAACAGAATGATTTATTTTATTTCTGTATAAGAAGGGACAGTTCCACAGGGGTTCTTTAAGGGTAGAAAGCAACATCAGACTTTTCAAATTAAACCAATAGACAATGATAAAAACAGTTTGTATATGCTTCTTTTTTATAGTCTGTTTCAATCTAAAAAAGCAGTTGATTTGATATAAAATTGGGAAAACAAGTTTAATGATGAATATTATAGAGTGATTTTATTTGGGAGAAAAATGTTAAATACTTTACATATGTCAGATGGTTTTCTCTGACTTCTAATTTTATTAATCACAGACACACCACATGTTTACGAATGATAGAACTGCAGTTAACCCTCAGATAGCACATTCATAAGTATTAATACCCCAGGACCAGAACTCGAGTTGAGGACAGATGAGATGGGATGGCATTCCCCTTTTTAAAATAATCTTAAAAATCATCCCCTTTCTTAAATATCCATCCCCCATACAGCTATGCCCCATATCCCTGTGACATTTTATTATTGAATGTGTAAAAGTTCTACTATATATTGACAGTAATAGCAATAATGTTACCCTTTCAACATTTGGCGGGCTTACGAGTAGCCTGAGCAAAATAAATAAAATCAAAGAAGTATCCTACCACGACTATGAAGCTGATCCCAGTGGGAAATGAGTCCCTAACTATGTAGGGTCAGTGATAGCCATGCCAGTCCAGGGACTGACTGCTGTTCTACTGTAAGGTGCCTTGGTCAAGGTCAATGACCAGCGTACCTGACATGTAACAACCATAACATGCATATTGCTCTAGGTTAATAGAATATATTACAGTTTTTCTCAAATGCTAAAACACATTTCACAAACGTTTCATCCATGTTCCTCAATGTCTAAACACAACACCCTTTTCTAAAGCTACATAAACACAACCACACCTTCTCCCTTCAAAACTCAAACTTTCACACCAAAAGAGCAGCTCGAAGCTTTCAAAAATGTAAACACTATACGCATCATTACACACCATCGCAAAACAATTGAAAACACAATGCTCAATTTG